CCCCCCACCCCCGACCACACCCGAGCCTGGGCTCAAAGACGTGGAAAGAGAGCCGCTAGGGTCCAGGCGGGAACTCAGAACAGACACACTCTCAGACGGTCACGTTGGTGGTGCGGGCTTTACTTTATTTAAAAATAATCTGGTTTTCATACAGAATTCGTTTTGTTTGTAGTGCTGCTAAGCACTTGACAGCATGGAGATAAAACATGACAATTTTTATATAAATTATCGGGCTCTTCCATGCTTGGCGCTCTTTTCAACACCTGGCCTTCGGCGGCTGTGCGTCTGCCCCAGTGACCCACGCTGGGCTTGTGTGCTGGTCCGGGAGGGAGCTCTTAGGGGGAGCCGAGTTGTGACCTGTAAGTTGTATGACAAGGCAGGACATGTGTCCGGCACGATTCAGGCCCATGAGTGTCCATCACTAGTCCACGTATTTTTCAACCTCTGTCCTTTTCCCAGCTGGTGTGTACTGAGTTACGAACAAGGTCCCAGGGTTGCCCAGGGAGGGAAGAGAAGCTACTGCTCCCAATGGCATGACTGAGCCTCATCATGTGACCTCGTGTCCTGCAGGGATGTCACAGCCTTGGGGGCAGAGGACTCGGAGCAGGACCTGCTCCAGCTCAGGCAGGTCCTGGGTGGCTGCCAGTGTGACGAGGCCCTGCAGGGAGTGTGACGAGGCCTGCATCGCTCAGGGGAGCCTCTGCCATTGCTCAGTAGGTCGTGTGGCCTCACCAGGGGCGTGAGAAATGCAGAGTCCAAGGCCCCTCCCCAGACTTACTGACCCGGACTGTGCACTTTTTTGCAAGAATCGCTGGCTGAGGCCCATGCTGGTGGCCAATTCCTGCAACAGGATCATGTAGGAAACCATTTCTAAATGCCCATGCCGGGTGCCCATCACAAAGGTTTGTGCCATCAGAGTTTTAGAAGTGCCCCATGGGGCCAGGGGAGAGAGCCAGGCCTCGGGCAGATGGCTTCTCAGTACCCCCTTAATTTTTATTTGGGTCGAAAAAAATGATCCTCATTAACAAAAGTGTAGTCCTTTGAATGCTGGGTTCTGACCCACTGGAGAGGGGCTGTTTGATCTCAGCGTCCCGGCAACACCATAAAGCGAAGCAGCGTCACGGGCCACGGGCCCCGCCTGGCCTTCGTGTGCAGTGTGGGTAAATGCATTGTCACGGCGCTTTCAAGCCATGATGGGGTTTATAACTATGATAAAACTGTGACAGCCAGTAAATTCGGATCCAGGTTCCTTTTTATTTGGAGGTTATAACTGACAGCACCTTAACGTGCCTGTGGGCTCTGTGGCATCTAGCCGGTGGCATCGCTGCCCAGGAAGGCAGGGCAAGGGGTGGCGGGGCTGCAGGCAGGAGCCCTGGCCCTGCGTGTGGGCTTGTCCTGGAGCGGCCATCATGCCCCACACAGCACCACTCGGTGGCTTGGGCCCCAGGAAGGACGTCCTAGGAAGATGCCACGTACGAGTTCATGAATTGATTTTGTGCCCTCATCGTCACCACCCACACAGCACACACGTTTCAGGGGCCTGGGCTCGAGGCGAGGTCCTGTGGGAACTGGATTCTGGGATGGCCCCCTGTTTCCCCCAAAGTTACCAGGCTTTTGAGAGAAGCAGGACCGTTTGGGGTCATGGTCAAGGCCAGTGCCACCATGGAATGCTCCGGATTCAAGCAACCGACAGCTCATTAGTCAGCAACCACCTATTTCCCCCCCAAACAAGCTTTTCTTTTAAAAAACATATTTCATTTTGTTGGTCTGTCACCTTTCACCCAAGGAGCTTTGAGGGGGTCCCGGGGTGTGAAGACTGCCCAGAGAAACGCACCCCCCACCCCCACCCCAGGGCCGTGCCCACACACGTCTGCCCCTCCAGGAGCGGAACTGAGCCCAGCCACATCCGCGCTTCCCCAAGGTGCACTCCCAGGTGACAGTCATCCTGGGACCCTCAGTGCTGACACCAGGCAAGGCCTGGGCACAGGGCTACGGATTGTCCCCCACCCCCACCCTCCGTGAGCTCCAAATCTGAAGATTTCAGACAGACCCGGAAGTCCTGAGCGCCCTCTGCATGTCACCTCCCACCAGCCTGCTCACAGCTTAGAACCAGGACCCAAGGTTTTCATTTACGTCAATCAACAGCTTTTACTCGCGTCCTTCCTCGCTGTGGGGGTTGAAGAAGCATAGACTAGGAGAGCTGGAAAAGTCACAGAAAATCTAGCTAGACCCGATTTCTTCACTGGAGAGCTGAGGCCTGGAGAGTCGAGACCATCGCTCGGCCGATTGCTGGTGAAACTGGGGTTAGACACGCGTCCCCTGACTTCTAGTTATCACTGCTCCTCCCTGTGTGCCCTTCTCCCCCCTCACCCCC